TGAGAAGATTGGTTTGTAGACAAGCCTGTGGGGGCATCTTCTTTATTAATGACTGAGAGGGCCCAGTACAGTGAGGGCAGAACCATCTTGGGATGTGTAAAACAGCAAACTGAGCAAGCCATGAGAAGCCAAGAAGGAGCATTCCTCAAGACCTCAGCCCCTCGCCAGGCGGTGGTGATGCACGCCTTTAATCCCAGCACTCGGGAGGCAGAGGCAGGTGGATCTCTGTGAATTCGAAGCCAGCCTGGTCTACAAGAGCTAGTACCAGGACAGGCTCCAGAGCTACAGACAAACCCTGTCTCGAAAAACCAAAAAAAGACCTCAGCCCCAGTGTCTGCCTCCAGGCCCATGCCTTGAGTTCCTCCCTGATTTACTTAAATGACTGACGAAGGACTTCGATGTGCAAGGATTAAGCTGAAATAAACCCTTTCCTCCCCAAATTGTTTTTGGTCATAGTGTTTTATCACAACAAAAGAAACCCTAACCAAGACAACCAAGACATGGTCTCTCTGGTTTCAAGATCAGAAGAAAAATGACAAAGGGAACGTCACTGGAGGTCACCATAAGAAGACACACATCCTGCCATTGTGGCTTTCAGGTCTTCAGCCTGCAGAAGTCAATCTGACGCAAATATAGCAACTTTGTCAAGCATGTATGACTGGAAGGCCAAACAAGGGTAATAGATGAAACACTCTCAGGACTAGGTGAATGAGGCACCTAAAAATTGTCTACTGCAGATTCAGACAAGGACTCCATGAAGGAATGGTATCTAAACCTAAGAGAGGCAGCATCCAATTCCAAACACATATGCCTTTCATTGGGAAAGTAAGAATTCCTCCACTCATGCTAAGGTAGCTCAAGCTCTAATTAACTTGGGAGTGAAAGGCTAAAAAAGAGACAAACAAACAAACAAACAAACAAAACCCTGTAAGTTAGCCAGAGTTAGGGCACACTTCTGGACAAGCAGAGGTCAAGAACTGAAAGCACTGAGCTTGAGGAGGGAGAGCTAAAGATGAGGACAACTAGCGGACTTCAGTTTGTTACACTTTCCTGTTGGCTTTGTTTTGAGTATGTTAAACCACAAGACAAAAACATTTATCTTATTCCAAAATAACTTTATCAAGTTGAGACCTATCTTTAAAAAAAGAGACCTTGATATGTTGATTTTTTTTCTAATTTCTTTAAAAGTGAGATAGATGAGACAAATTATTGAATTAAACTGTGCCATTCGTGATGATACTGAATGAAGTCCATAAAAGTTTGGATTTGGGGCTGGAGAGATGGCTCAGTGGTTAAGAGCATTGCCTGCTCTTCCAAAGATCCTGAGTTCAATTCCCAGCAACCACATGGTGGCTCATAACCATCTGTAAAGAGGTCTGGCGCCCTCTTCTGGCCTTCAGGCATACAGACAGAATATTGTATACTAAATAAATAAAAAAAAGTTTGGATTCAGCATTAATAAAGCTTAATAAAGGATAAATTAAATAATTAATTTAGTTAATTAATAAAGGATAAATAACAAAAGAATGAAAGTCTTATTTCCTTCACACACACTGAATACACTACAGACTATACAGTATAAGGACATAGGCTTTTGCTCTCTTAGTAAAAACAAGCAGTTGATTTCAATGACTGTGGTCACTCACAGGCTTTTATCTTTTTTGCTTTGCATTTGTTCTTTTGTTGTTGTTTTTGTTTGTTTGCTTCTTAAGACAGCCTTAGGATGTAACTCAGGCTGACCTAGAACTCAATTCCCAATCCTACTGCCTCAATCCCTGGAGAGTTGGAATTTAAGGTATGTACAGCCACATCTGTTTGAAGCCTCTATCTCTTAATTATCCCCAAGAACCATCTTACCAAAATACAGAATAATCAGTCATAATGTGAACGTTTCTGAAACGTCAGGAGACAACCCAAAATGACTTTGGTCGACCCCAGGATTTAGCTTCAAGTTGTGGTTCACACGGGTGAGCCCAGTACTGGAGAGGCAGAAGCGGGAAGATCAGGCGCTCAAGATCATCCTCAGCTACACAGTAAATTTGATACAAGAGAGAGACCCTGCCTCAAAAAAATTTAAAAAAATAAACAAAAAAAAGCGCACAAGAATTAATCAAGTAGGGGCTGGAGAGGTGGCTCAGAGGTTAAGAGCACTGACTGCTCTTCCAGAGATCCTGAGTTCAATTTCCAGCAACCACATGGTGGCTCACAACATCTATAATAAGATCTGGTGCCCTCTTCTGGTGTGCATGTCATACATGCACACAGAACACTATATACATAATAAACTTTTTAAAAATCCTTGGAAAAAAATCAAGTAAAACTTGTAGGAAAAAGGTCTGGAGAGATGGCTCAGTGGTTAAGAGCACTGACTACTCTTCCAGAGGACTTGGGTTCAAGTCCTAGCACCCACATGGCAACTTACTCCAAGATATGACACTCTCACACAGACATACATGTACCAAAACACCAATGCAAATAAAATAAATTACACTTTTTTTTTATTTTTATTTTTTTTTTGGTTTTTCGAGACAGGGTTTCTCTGTGGCTTTGGAGCCTGTCCTGGAACTAGCTCTTGTAGACCAGGCTGGTCTCGAACTCACAAAGATCTGCCTGCCTCTGCCTCCCGAGTGCTGGGATTAAAGGCATGCACCACCACCGCCCGGCTAAATTACACTTTTAAAAAGTGTAGGAAAAATTAGAGACACTTAAGAGTCTCAAATCCTGTAGCCTCACCCCCTACCAAGTTCTTTATATGCCTCAATTCAACATAACCCTCTACTAGTTATTTCTTAGAGAAATAATGGGGCTGGAGAAATAACTCAGCAGTTAAAGCATTGGCACCTTTTTCAGAGGCCCTGAGTTCAATTCCCAGCACCCACATAATGGCTCACAACCATCTATGGGGTCTGATGCCCTCTTCTGGCCCGCAGGTATATATGCAGATAGAGTATCATATACATAAGATAAATCAACAAAAATAAGCAGAAACATTATACGATGTTTCCAACCTTCTTCTTCATGGCATACATAGCAATCTCCATTTCTTATCTGGCATTCATTAGGAGTCACTAAGACACAACCTAAAACAATAAATTCCACGCAGGATCTATCAATTCCAGTGGACTATGTTACTTCTGCCTCTACATTCTTTTGCATTTTTCCATAATAAAAGTTTGTTTCAAAAATTATATAATCTTAGCTTAGTTACCCACTAGAGTCTACTTCACTAATCCCTTATTAAAAACAGCAAGGTCCTGATAACTAAGAAATAGTTCATTATCAAAGGATTTGATTTTCATGGACCACCGAAATGGCTCAGAAGATAAAAGGGGATTGCTGTCAAGCCAGATGACCTGAATTCACTTGGGAATCATGTGGTGGAAAGAAAGAACTGAGTCCTGAAAACTGTCCTTTACATACATCGCAGGGCACACGCATGTGCAGACTGAGAGACAGACACACTGTGGATAGACGGTAGGTAGGTAGTAGGTAGGTGGTAGATAACCTTTACTTAAATCTTGCTGCTCTCAGGGCTAGGGGGTGCAGCTCCATGGCAAGCACATACATGAGGCCTTGGGTTCAAAATTCCCAGCACTACAAAAGAAGGGAAAGAACAGTAAATCTCACTGACCTTACACACACACACATTAAAAAAAAAAAAAATCAAAAAAACAAAAAAATTCTATTACCTCTCTAAAATTCATAAAAGGCATCCTATAATTGTGTGGAGGTAGACTTTCAGAATCTGTACTCCATAAAGATGTACAACTACAAATTCTACACTCTTTGCAAACTTATCCAGCCCAGAATAACCTCCAAGCCCTTTTTTTTTTAACAAACAATGACAGATTAGGATCATGACATTTGATCCAATGAAAACGAAATTAACAAAAAACCCTTAGACCTTAATGTTTCCAAGTTGGAAAAGAGAAACATAATGGAACTCACAAAAGTCATCTTCAATTTAATTATCTGTTTAAATAATTTCTACACACACACTTCTGAACTCTTGAGTAGAAAGTGACTAAACCACTAACCAAATATGAAAAGCAAAAACAAAAATTGTTTCACAAGAGACTTCTTGGATTCCCTTTGGATACTTCCTAGAAAAGGCCTTGACAAGAACCTAAATTCAAAGTCTTGACAATCTTCCATCCGGCACTAAGACTTAACACCATAGCAGAAAGTTCCAGAGGGCTGAAGGATGGATCAGTATCAATCAGAGGGGAAATGGAAGCAAACACAATTTCCTTGCTACTTTTGCTAAAGTGATACAAACTTTGAAAAAACAAATTCAGAAAAAATATCACTTGTTTAACTTCTGAAGCTTCCGGTGACAGAATATATGTTTCTAAGAGGAGTTCCAAACGATCAAATGAAAAGTCACTGTATGTAAAAACTGACAAGGAGAAAAAGAGGAAAAAGAGAAGAGTAAGCCGTTAAAGACAAAAAACAAAACAAAACAAAACAAAAAACCTTAAAGTGCATTTAATGATCTGTCGGATTCATAAGGAAAAGTCACGTCTACACCTCTGCCTCAGTTTCCCTGCCCCAAATAAGCTAGAACGTAGCATTTCATTCCAACGAACCAGAGGGCCTTGTTTCACAAGCCTCCTGCAACTCAAAGGGGCCCTCTGAGGCTGGACTCAGTGGGGGGTCCCCAGAGCAACGGAGGCCTGACAGCCGGAGCCCTGAGCTGGGAAAAAGGAGAAAGGGAATAGGGTCTAAGGGAGCCAACTCCCACAATCTGGGGGTGACGACACCCGTCCAGGACCCAACATCCCCACTCTACTGAATCCAGCCGGCAGCCTCAGCATCTCCCTCCTTCCGGCTTTTTGCTGAGTTCCGGGCCGCCCTCCGGCCGCGCCCCCGGGCGCAACCACCTTTACGCCGAGCCGCCCTTCGGGCCGCGCGCTCGCCCACCGGCCGGCGCCAAGGTCTCCTCCTGCCCGCAGCGGAAGGATGCAGGAGCGGGCCTGCCAGGCTCCTCCCGGGCCTACCTGCGAGACGGGTGAGAGCTCGGCCCGTAGACCAGCAGACGCAACGGGCTACGGACGGAAGGCGGGAAGGGGCCGAAGGAAGCGAGGGATCCGCTCAGCCGACCGGCGGGAGAAAGCGGCCAGAGCCCGGGGCCTCCGGAATAACTCAGTTCTGAACCTGGCACCGCCGCCGCCGCCGCTCTAGAGACATCAACCAAGAAGACGCCGCAAAAGATCACAGAATACACGAACGCCCAGACATCAAAGGAAGAGCGCCCAGCAATCGTTCAAGGAACTGCAGCCGAGTGCCGAACAATGCTCAGGTCTTGCTACAGGGCCGGCTGCCGTCCCAGACATAAATAAACAAATTCAGATAGTAAACTATATCGTAGAGTAAACTGTGTGTGATTCTGCCATTTTCTGTTGGTGGCCAAGTGTTTAAGTAATTTAGAGAGCTAAAGTTTTGAGACGGGCGCACGCCTGTAATCCCGGCATTTTAGGAAGAGGAGTAGACATAAGGATTCGGAGTTCAAAGTCATCCTCAGAATGAGCGTGAGGCCATCCTCGGCTATATGAAACCTCGTCTTAAGGTCTTAAGCGAAAAAAATAATTAGTCTTTTTGAGCTTTTTGGTTGAAGATCAAATCATAGCAAAATAAAACTCGTCTTAATAGCTCAAAGAATGCTTTACACGTAGGTTCTCACACTACTTAGCCTAGTTGAACAAATGACTTCAACTCTTGATTCTTAGTTTCCTGTCAGAGCTGTAAGGTGCATTGAATAAGAGACAGGTGAAATGAAGAAAACAGTGAACAGTCTCTATGAATGCTCCAGTTTTACAAGCAAATCCAAGAGAAAATGGTAAAACTTAAGGTGGGAGGGAAAAGTTCCTGTATTGTTATTTAAAATCAGTCTCAATCTCTCTCTCTCTCTCTCTCTCTCTCTCTCTCTCTCTCACACACACACACACACACACACACACACACTTTCTGGTTTTTCGAGACAGGGTTTCTCTATGTTTTTTTTGTTTGTTTGTTTGTTTTTGTTTTTGTTTTTCGAGACAGGGTTTCTCTGTGGTTTTGGAGCCTGTCCTGGAACTAGCTCTTGTAGACCAGGCTGGTCTCGAACTCACAGAGATCCGCCTGCCTCTGCCTCCCGAGTGCTGGGATTAAAGGCGTGCGCCACCACTGCCCGGCCCAGGGTTTCTCTATGTAACCTTGGCTGTCCTAGAATTGGCTCTGTAGACCAGACTGGCCTCAAACTCACAGAATTCTTTCTTGAAGTATACGTACTTCTCTTTTATTGTCTTAGAACAATCTAAAACCACAGACCACAAATGGGCTTTTAGTTACCTAACTAGCTAGTTAACTAACTGGGTTTTAGGGTCGGGACTTAATGTAGCCTACTCTGGTCTTGAATTCTGTGTAGCCTACTACACAGAATTTGACTTTGAAATTCTGATGCGCTTGCTGCAAATGACAGGGATGCACCACCGAGTGGATTTGTGGTGTGCCTGAGGGATTGATGAGCGCTCCTCTCGGTAGCCTGGCTGACTTGGAACTCACCATGTAACCCAAGCTGTCCTCCAGCTCAAGGCAATTCTTCTGCCTCAGCTTCCTGAGTGTTGGGATTATAAGTGACCATGCCTGGCTTCCTTTTTGTTGTTTTTCAGACAGAATCTCACTATGTAGTCCATATTGCTTCCAACTCATTCTTTTCCTCCCTCTGCCTTCCACCGGTTGCGATTACAGGAGTTTGCCACCATATCTGATTAGCAACTGTTTCTAACTATTGTCCTGGCCAAGCTCCTTACTCTGGAATCTATCTATATGTTGTTCTAGGTATTTTTTTCATGTGATAGGCATTTGATACTCTTGAGAAGAGGCAATTATAGCATTATAATTTATGATTAGGTCATATTGGACACACGCAAACAAAAAGATTTTATTCTTGAAATCAATCCAGCTCTGATTAGTTACATAAGTTCCTGATAAGATTGGGCCCATGGGAGCATAATATCCCCTGGTGGAGAAGGAGCCTCAGGAGTAAGTGTACAATGTCCTTCCTCTACTTAAGGACATATAAGTAGTTAATTGCTGGAAGAAGGCAGAGACTCTTGAGTGGTATAGCTGCCATAAATTGCTAATGCTCCTATAAGCAACCCTCAGGTTAAACTCACTGAATCAAGCTAGACTTGAATGGAATTATTTATTTAGTCTGCCATTGATGCCTCATTTTGGATGAATAGGTGTTTTGTTCCTATCTCTCCAGGAAAAGTCAGGCATCACTTGGTACCTGAACAGTTGAGAAAGAGAAGTCTTCTCGCTATGATGCCATTGCTTTGTCCCTGCTGGTGGTGACAAGTGACTGAGCTGCTGCGCCTGTGAAGGTGGAGTATTTGTGGACAAATACCTTAGTGACTGTCTTTGTATCAACCTTCCTAATGCTGCACCACTTTAAGACAGATCCTCCTGCCGAGCTGACTCCAGCCACAAAATTGCTTTTTTTGACAGCTAATTTTGATATTCTTATGAATCATAATGTAAATATCTGGGTTTTCCAATAGTCTTATTTGATGCCTGTGGAAGGATCATTCAACCCTCAAAAGGGTTGCAACCCACAAGTTGAGAACTTCTGACCTATAAGATATGGAGTATGTGTCTTCTTGATAAATGGGCACTCCTTTAATCCCAGCACCTGGGAGGCAGAGGCAAGTGGATGTCTATGGGTTTAAGGCCAGCCTGGTCTACAGAGTGAGTTAGTTCTAGGACTGGCTCCATAGCTACTGAGAAATTTTGTTTTAAAAAAATTATATCAAATGAAATATCACTACAGACAATGATGAGATAACAGTTTTCTGTTTCTTCCATAAGGGAAAGAATACAAATTAGATTGTGCTGAAGTGTTGGACCCTAGAGTCCAATCACTGAGGAGGAGTCCCCGCAAGAGACCGTCTCTCACACCACAGCTGATGTAAAAGCATGAGGATTTTATTAATTCCGTCATGACAGGGTCTTTCAGCATTAGAGAGGCCAGAAAGACCCCGAATAGCTGGTACAGGCTACTTTTAAAGGAAAAAGCCACAGAAGCAAGGGGGGTGTCTGGGATTGTTCTTTGACTATTATGATTGGCTTATTCAAAGGGGCTATTACCAATAATTGGATGGAGAGTAGTTGCCAGGTAAGAGGAAACATCTGAGGATCACTTTGATCCCTTTCCCAGGGGCTGAGTCAAATCAAGTGTCCAGGAGGCCTCCCACCTGGCACATACATCAGGAACTGAGTCAACATCTTAAAGGTTATCTTACCCCAATTTCTGGAGAACATTCACAAAGACTCAGGGAAATGGAAAGTTCCCAACATTTCAGTATGTGTGTGGGTAATTGTTAGATTCCTGGTTCCCAGGGGAGGGGGGGCAGTACTGCTGAGAGGCCTGAGTTGTCAGAAATGGCTTTAGAGTTACTTTAGAGTTCTACAGAAGACTCTCTTCTAGGATCTGAAAACTTAGAACCCATAGGAAAAAATGGATGGTGTGTAGGAGTGGGTTGGGGGTGATAGAAGTAACAGAAAATCCCTGTATGGTCGAACATTTAATACAGAGGGGAAAAAATGTATGATTCAGCATGCAGACAGTGGCCTAGCATAATCAGGAACTACTCTACATCTAAACTGCCTAAATTGGGGAAGATTTCTGTTTTCAAGACAGGGTTTCTTCACTCTGTAACCCTGACGGTCCTGATTCACTTTGTAGATCAGGAACTCACAAAGAGTGCTGGGATTAAAGGCATGTACCACCCACTGCCCAGTGGGAAAGACCTTGTTAATGATTTATTTTAGTATGTGTCTATGTGTATACTTCATGGTTGTAGGTGCCCACAAAGGCCAGAAAAAGAGCTTGGAATCCTCTGGAGCTGTGGTTATGGATGACTCTGAGCCTCCTGGTGTAGATGCTGGGAACGGAATTTTGGTCTATTTGGAAGATTGATTTTTTTTCTTAATTATGTATATGTGAGTGCCAAGTATGGGTAAGTGCATATGAGAACAGGCACATGAAGGCAGAGGCGTTAGATTCTCTGGAGATGGAATCACATATAGTTGTGTAGAACATCTGACCGAGCCAGAGGAACGAGCCAGTAAGTGGCATTCCTCCATCATCTCCATCTTGGCCTCCCTCAATAACAGAGTGTGAAGTGTAAGATGAAATGAATCCTCTCTCAGGTAATTTTTGGTCATCACAACAATAGAAAACAGAAAGCACACTAGAACACCAAGAAAAAAGAAAGGAGGGAGGGAGAAAGAGAGGCTAATTCAGCAGGGAACAGGGCTTTAGTGGCTTTTCTGAGCCTTGTATCCACAAGGACATGATCTTTAAAGAATAGGAGATGCTCTAGTGGCTCTAAGTGGTTTAAAATGAAATGTAAATTATGTTCATGAAGTGCTGAAGTAATCAAGACAAGCTGAGAAAAAGAAAAACCTGATAGAAAGGTGTTCTGCTTAGTTTTTTGTCAAATTGAGACAAGCTAGAAATATCTGGAAAGAGGATCTTCAATTAAGAAAATGCTGCCATAAAATTAGCATGTAGACAAGTCTGTAGGGCATTTACTTAATGATTGATTAGAAGGATCCAGCCCATTGCAGGCAGTGCTGCCTCTGAGCACTGGGTAGTACTGATCCTGGGTGATATAAGAAAGCAGTGAATACCTTTAACCCAGAACTCAGGAAGCAGAGGCAGTTGGATCTTTGTGAGTTCGAAGCCAGCCTGGTCTACAAAGTGAGTTCCAGGATAGCCAGGACTGTTAGTGTTACATAGAGAAACCCTGTCTCAATAAACAAAACAAAACAAAAAACGAAGAAAAAAAAGCATGTTGTCTTAGTTAGGGTTTCTATTGCTGTGAAAAGACACCATGACCACAGCAACTCTTATAAGGAAACATTTAATTACAGTGTCAGAGGTTTGGTCCATTATCATGATGGTAGGTCATGGTGGTGTCCAGGCAGACATGGTACTGAAGCTGTGAGTCCTACATGTTGATCAGTAGGCAACAGAATGAGGTCTAAGTCACTGGGCGCAACTTGAGCATATATGAGTCCTCAAAGCCTGCCTCGTTAGTGACACACTTCCTCCAAGGCCATACCTACTCCAACAAAGCCACACCTCCTAATAGTGCCCCTCCCTATGATTTTATGGGGGCCAGTTACATTTAAACTACCATGCTGGCTGAGCAGCAAAGCCAGAAAGCAGCTATCCTTCATGAACTCTATTTCAGTTCTTGCCTCCAACTGAAGGAACCTTAGATAAAAGACTGAGTTTGGAAGTATAGGCTGAAATAAACCTTTTCCTCCTCGAGTTATTTTT